TGAGATTGTTAACAGCTTTACTTTGCTTTGTTCCACAATCAGCGCTCTTGGTACAAACAGCCAGGAAATTAAAAGATGTATTGTGATGGCAAAGTCTGCTGTTAGAGACATCTCCAAAGTCCTGAAGAGCGATGATGTCACTCTGGAGACGAAAGTTTGCCTGATACAGGCCATGGTCTTTGTAATCACTTGCTATGCATCATAGAGATGGATAATGACTAGAGATGATAGGAGAATTGATGCCTTTGAACTGTGGTGGTGCAAAAGGGTATTGAATATATCATGTACTGCTAAGAAAACAAACAGGTTCATCCTAGAGAGGATTAAAGCAGACTACTCCTAGGAGGCAATATTCTGAAGCTTTGTCCGACATACTTTGGACATGATGCAAGGAGGGACCAGTCCTTAAAGACGGACGTCATCCATGGGAAGGTCGAGGGACGGTGCAGGAGAGGAAGGCCCTCTATGTGATGGATTGTCATCCATGGGAAGGTCGAGGGACAGTGCAGGAGAGGAAGGCCCTCTATGTGATGGATTGATTCAGTGACTCGGGTAATGGCAGTGGGTGTGTCAGAGACTGAGATTGGCAGAGGATAGAGCAGTGTTTAGGGCTGTTGTCACTATGAGTCTCAGGCGACTCAACGGCACATAGCAACAACCTCATTTCACTTATTGCCATGTGTCTTGATTTCCTAACTACTGGTGACCAATAGTATTGATTGTGAAACTAAGCAAGTTGTAATTGTTAACAATTTCAATGTCTTCTCCATCTATCATGGTGCTTCTAATTGGCCCAGTGGTGAGAATCTTTGTCTTCTGGACTTTGAGCTTCAATCTATATTGAAGACTATAGTTGTTGAACTTGTACAGCAAGAGTTTCAAGATCCTGCTGCCCTCTGTCAGGGGACATTGTTAAGTCTCCATTCTTTCTCCACAGAGCCCTGAGCTTTTCCACATCTCATTTGATTTAGGGTCTTTAGTTCCATTAAGTTTGTTTTGTTCAGATTTTCCTCTTAGAGTTTGCTGTATACAGAGTGTAAGGGGAACCTCCTGAGTACACTCATGTTTGCCCTTGATTGGTCGCTCTCTGTTCGCCGGCATCCTACAGTGTCACCCTGATGGCAGTAAGCACAACGGAGATACACCACTCCAGGAGAGGATCAGAGAGTCAATCCAGCTCAATTTTATTGGGATCTGCAGTGCATTTGTATACCAGTATGTAAATAGGAAGACAGGATAGGGTGGGCTTACAGACGTGGGACATGCAGATGGGTCAGGAGAACCTCAGCCTCCTGCGGACCGACAGACATGGCAGCCGTCTTCCCAGGTGGCGAGCTTTCTCAAGCCGGCACAGCCAAACACAGGGGAGCGAGCTTTCTCTATGCCATATTAAAGGCCGTTGGGATGCTTGCACTTATCTGGAGCTTAGGTGATCTGTCTGGGCCGCAGAGCCTTCCTTCCTCCCCAACATCCTGCAATATTGTTGTTGTTGTTGTTGTTGTTAGTGCCCTCGAGTCCCTTGCGACTCATAGTGACCATATGTACAACAGCCCTAACCTCTACTGTATCCTCTGCCAATCGCACTGCCTCTGACACACCCATCCTGATTACCCCAGTCACTGAATCATTCCACCTCATGGAGGGTCTTCCCCTCTTGCGCCATCCCTCCACCCTCCCAAGCATGATGTCATCTCCAAGGACCTGTCTCTCCTTACAACAGGTCCAAAGTATGTCAGACGAAGCCTCAGAATTCTTGCCTCCAAGGAGCAGCCTAGTTTAACCCTCTCCAGGATGAACCTGTTTGTTTTCTTGGCAGTCCATGGTACATTCAATCATTCAGTACTCTTTTTCAGCACCACAGCTCCAAGGCATCAATTCTCCTTCTATCCTTCCTAGCCACTGTCCAACTCTCTGATGTATAACAAGTGATTGCAAAGACCATAGCCTGTATCAGATGCACCTTAGTTTCCAGAGTGACACCATTGCTCTCTAGTACCCTGGAGAGGTCCCTAACAGCTGACTTTCCCATCACAATATGTTTTTTATTTCCTGGTTCCTGGTGCCAAGAGTGTTGACCGTGGAACCAAGCAGACTAAAGTTGTTAACAATCTCAAGCTCTTCACCATACATCCTGATGCTACCGATTGGTCCAGTGGTGAGAATCTTTGTCTTCTTGACATTGAGCTTCAATCCATACTGAAGGCTGCAGTCCTTGACCCTCTGCAGCAAGTGTTTCAGGTCCTCCTCAGTTTCAGGAAACAGGGTTGTGTCATCTGCATAACGCAGATTGTTAATAGAGCTTCCACCAATCCTGACGCCACACTTCTCCTCAGGGCCCAGCCTCTCGGATAATCGGTTCTGCATACAGGTTGAAAAGGTATGTAGCTAGGACACATTCCTGGTGTACACCTTTCCCAATTTTGAACCTGCAACATAACCTCCCTTTTTATTTTAAATGATCCAAAGAGGGGAAAGTCTCTGGTGTAGAGACTGGTGTTTCTTGGGAGGAGGATGATCCAATGATGGTAAGGGTAGAACGATTATTCAGTGCAGCTGCTTGGGCATTCTGTCTTGTGTAGAGAGAGGTCTATGGCTGCTCCTGTAATGACAACTGGGGAGATAATAAAAATGTTAGAATTGCCATAACTTAATTTCTGGATTGGATTAGGAGATGAGTATAGAATATAGAGCCACATACATATAGGAAATGCAGGTGAAGAAACAAAAGCTTACAAAACCTGATTAGATTCTCTTGCTATGGCACTATTGGTGGTCTAAGTCATGTTATAAACACAGGACCAGTGGGTTTACCACTCCGGAGTTAAAGGTCAAGAGCCTGTTGGTTGAGTGTCATGTTTCAGGTCACAGGTATCTGTGATGTCTGGGGTTTCGACTTCTTTTTCCTCTCTCTCATCTTCTTGTCATGGATGCTCAATCGATGCATCTTCTCGGTAAGCAGGTTGGAATTGGACATGAAGAGCAGGAACCCACAGGATGTAGCTTGTTCTGTGGGAAAATACAAGTAAAACCTCTTCCTCCCAATGGTTAGTAAGTATCAGATCCTTTCCATACTTGGTCTAATGGTCCTTCCATGTGACCCATATTGGTGGCTCACTGGGAGGTGTATTTGATTGCCAGTGATCACATATGGGAGGTTTTTTAAAAACACTGGCATTGTCATATCTTTCCAACCTTGAGGGGTGTTTAAATTAAGACTTAATGAATTACGCTGTGCCTTCACCCACAGAGAACGAGCTCCATGATCTCTAACAGCTGTCCTAAGTTTTTTTTAACTCTCTCCCAGCACATGGTATCACTGTAAAGGATGTTCAGCTGTGAGATACACACCAACAAGAAACACATGTGCCTCAGAGCTAGTGTCACACTGATCACACAATACCTTGTATAAAGGATACTCAGGTGTTGGGTACACGCCAATAGAGCACACACGTACCTCAGAGTTCCACCCAGCATCTCACTGATCACACAACACCTGAGCCCAAGATTTTTGCGTTTCTTCATTGCTTTCTCTTTAGTCTCCACCTGCTTCTTTGTTTTCCTTCTTGGGAGAGTAGGGAAGAGGTGGTGCAATCATCTTGTCTAAATTCTTTAGGGCTGTTGTAAGATCCTCTGCCATAACAAACAGCTAATGGTGCATTTCTTCTAATGGTGCCACAGTCTTTGTCAAAACTATTTTTAATTAATCTCCTTTGTCAGCATGTCCTTTGCCATTCCCTGTCATTCCCCCCAGGTGAGATTTTACCCTGATTCAGTAGGAGAGGGGGCACCGAATTAGTTATTTCCTGCTGGTAAAGGGCGTTGTAAGTCCCAGGGTGAAAATCTTCTCCCACTACTCTAAAGGGTCCCAGGTTTGCACATTGAATATGTGAGCAGCAATAATCCAAGGGGCAATATCAACAACTGTTGTCCAGAAGGAAAAAGCTTGAGATTGTGTAAGTTTGACCTCCCTACTTTCTAACAAAGACATTAAACACTTCGCTTAAGGATCTTTCAAATTGCTTGCCGAATTTTTTAAAATTTACTTGCCGAAATTACCCTTGCTAAGAGAAGAGAACACTTGCCTGATCCTACTTCAGGTTCTCTGCTCCCTGACAGAGGCAAGCACAAAAAGAAGAAAAAACAGGAAAGAATTTTCCCTTGCTTTTCACCCAAGCAAGGGGTGCTTACCTGAAGACCTTTCACCTACTTCAAATTTTAAGCCAACTACACCAGGGCACATCAGGCCCCCAAAGCTCAGGTCCCTGACAGGAGTGAACACTGAAGGGGGTACTCACCCAATACCTGACATGAATGAGCACAGAAAGGGGTGCTCACCTGATACCTGATGGGAGTGAGCACAAAGGATCTCACCCAAAAACTTGATGCGAGTGAGCACAGAGGGTACTCACCCAATACTTCGTCAGGTCCGTTCCTGTTCCAGGTGCCATATGTAGCTGTCTGTTCACTGGCAACCTACAACATCACCCTGATGGCAGTAAGCACAACAGAGATACACCACTCCAGGAGAGGATCAGAGAGTCAATCCAGCTCAATTTTATTGGGATCTGCAGTGCATTTATATACCAGTGTGTAAATAGGAAGACAGGATAGGGTGGGCTTACAGACGTGGGACATGCAGATGGGTCAGGAGAACCTCAGCTTCCTGCGGACCACTCCCAGCTCAACAGACACGGCAGCCGTCTTCCCAGGTGGCAAGCTTTCTCAAGCCAGTACAGCCAAACACAGGGAAGCTTTTTCTATGCCATATTAAAGACCGTTGGGAGGCTTGCACTTATCTGGAGCTTAGGTGATCTGTCTGGACCAGAGACCTTTCCTCCCTCCCCAGTATCCAGCAACATTGATTGTAAGCCAAATACTGGCTCTAGAGTCCACACAGCACCTCTCAGGAAAAAATATTAAAAACCCTGGTGTTCTGCTCCCAAACAAACACCATCCTGCAAGTCCCTAAGATCCTACTCTGTCGCACATGGGGTTGCCCCATGTTGGAATCCAGTAAGTGGCAACCAATTGTTTGTTTATTTGTTTTATTATTATTAGATTACATTCAAAGCTTAAAAAGGAAGGTATGTATTATAGATAAATCAGCATTCCCTTCTTCTTACTCCTTAAAAGAAGCATACAGGCTGCCCTATCTTCTGGCACTCACTCAAACATATTCTCTTGTTATTAATCTTTTCCACAGGTTATTATTTGAATTTCCTAGAGCCAGTCAACAATATCACCATAGTCCAGGGTCAGACAGCAATTCTGCACTGCAAAGTGGCAGGCAACCCACCCCCTAGTGTGCGGTGGCTGAAGAATGATGCCCCAGTTGTGCAGGAGCCCCGGCGTGTCATCATTCGGAAGACAGAATATGGTTCTCGATTGAGGATTCAGGACCTGGATACCACAGACACTGGCTACTATCAGTGTGTGGCTACGAACGGGGTGAAGACAATCACAGGCACAGGCGTTCTGTTTGTGAGGCTTGGTAAGTTGTGGGATTGAGAACTTTGTCTATGGACATAAAGGACTCTGCTTTGAATATGTATGTCCACTAAGAGAGATTTGCCATTTGAAACTGTACACATAAAGTTCCAAAATGAAAGGAACTCTACAAAACCATTCCACAAGGCCTTTCTCATTGTATCTAAGTTCCTGGTTTAATGTGCAAGACAAAAAAGCATAAAGACAATGCTATACGACTGTGCTCCCTGAAGAATGGAAAGGAATTCCTTGGCAAGAAGAACTGTAACCCCAATCATCAGAGTCACACTTGGCTGCTAACCGTCAGGTTGGTAGTTCATATCTATCCCAGACATACTTTGTCAAGTAAGGTCTAGTAATTTCCTTCTGAAATATCAGCCATGGAAATCCTTTTAGAGCACAGTTCTACTCTAATATACATGAGGTTACCCTGAGCCTCGGGGATTCGGGGGCAATGCTATTTTTTTTTTTTTAAATCAGAATTCTGAGAAAGGCCCCAGGTCTTGTCACACAAACTTCAAACTATTTTGTCACAGATAAATAAAATGTCTTTTATCTGTCGGTGTAAACTTAACAAGATTAGAAGAGAGAGAGGAATGACAGTAAAAATACCAAAAACTGAACAGAACAAAACAGAAGAATGTCATTTATTTCTTGTGGTTTTTCAGTGTCACTGACCTACAATCACAGAGATGTGGGTTTTTCCTATCACTATGAGCAATTGTACTGGATTGTACCACCTTATTGTTGACCTGATTTGAAAATTTTGTCATTAAAAAAGCTTCATGTATTAATAATTTGGGTTTTGATTTTCTTATGTTTTCTCTTTTTAGGTCCAACACACAGCCCAAATCATAACTTTCAGTAAGTATCTCTTTTAATCAAATCGTTTTCTGAGGCATTGAGAGATTCCACTCTATAAAAATCCTGGTTATTGATCTGGGAGAAACTTCATGCACTCACTGCATGCCCTTCCTTAATTTGGTAGAATTTAGGTGGACTTTAGAAGGGGAGTGTTCATAGGGAAATGTGACATTTTCTATATTTAGCATGACATAAAGAAATCTTTGTTGTTGTTTTGCGCGCATGCTACCATGCACTGTTTTCGCATGCTCTCTCTTTTACACACATACACGTCACTGTTCATTTCTTTAAGTGATCATGACTTGATGATTGCACACATATTTAGACCATATTGCCAAGGTCACTAGAATTTTTACTTTAGGAAACCATGTAAGAACATAAAGGCACTTTTTACTCAAATCCCAACACCACCAGTTAACTATGTTTTTAGGTGTCATTTATAAAATGAAGACCCTCAGAGAGAGGCAAGGTCTCAGCCAATCTTAGAGATGAGAGAATGAGGAGTAGATCATTGATTCACACTCTGTAGGGGGTTATTTTTTTTTTTTTTGTTTTTCTAAACTTCCGTTCTGTAGGGGGTTATTCATGGAATTTGGCTTTGAACTCTGGTCCTCAAAACAGAATTCCTCAGACTCTTTCCACTGCTCTGCATTTTATTTGAGGAAAATGTCCTCTGTCAAGTACTGTGTTATGTAAATGGTGTGATTACTCTTTTTCATTTTTTGTATCTAAGACTCTCTCATTCACTAACCAAGAATTGGTAGTCAAAGTGGTTCCAATTCATACCAACTCATCTTGGATTTCTGGCACTCTAAATTAACTGGAGGAGACTGCTCATCTTCTCTCCAAGGAACCACTAGTGGATTTGAATCCCCAGAGATATTTAGCCTTTGTTTTGCAGTGGCACTTGCTATGGGTTACACTATCAGAGCTCCCTAAGATTAACAATAGTTATTGAATTTATTCTCATTTTCTATACAGATCTATTGGTAAATGATTGATTAACTTTCAGATATTTTTTACAGTGATATGATGTAGTTGATTAATTGGGTCTTTTTTGCTTATATACATTTTCTAGATGCCTGAGAAACATTACCTATAGGTTATTGTTCTGCTAGGCCATGTAAGGATCATGGACACTGGAGTAACCTTTCTGTTGTAAGAAGCTTTGAAATGTTTAACCTTCATAATATTATATGAAGAATGCAGAAACATGATAGTGGGAAAAGAAGAAATTTCACCAATGTAACATTTTTTAAGACTTTGGAAGACATTATTTTAGAAGTGAAATCATTATTGAAAAATATGTTTATTCTGATTTTCCTCTCATTATTAATAGAACTAATTGATGCATCTATGTAAACAATGCCTGTTGTTGTTTTGTGCCATTGAGTCCCTTGCAATTCTTTGTGACCCTAGGTACAAGAGCCCTAAACCCTGCTCTATCCTGTGCCAACCTTATTGTCTCTGACCACCATTACCCTAGTAACTGAATCAATCCATCTCATCAAGAGTCTTCCTCTCCTGCGCTGTCCCTCCACCCTCCCAAGCATGATGTCCCTCTCCAAGGACCAGTCCTTCCTTGTAACATGTCCTATAATGCTCATAAAGTGAAAATTCTATCTGATCATTCAGTCTGTTGTTATCTTTCCCTAGAAGCTCCCTAGACTGTCATATGTGTCAGAAAAGGATTTTCTTCAGCATTTAATACATATAACACCTGGAGAAATATGCCATGTCATATTGATTTAATGTCTTACATAACTGACGTTATACTTGAGATGTCAAATAGTAGACCTTTCCATGTTAAGAAAAGACTCCATGTCTGAATTTCTCTGATCTTCTTTCCTCCTAGCCACTATATTCCATGTAGCATTTAACTGTTCCCCTTAATCAGCTGTTTCTGCCTCAGTGTCCACTCATAGTGACTCAATGCATGTCAAGCAGAATGGCACTAGAGCATTTTCAGTAACAGATGCTGCCGTGGACATGCTCACCAGACTGTGCCAGTAAATCTGGAGGACAACCACACAGGACAACAACATCTGATTGGAAGAGATCCATATTTATTTGCATTCTAAAAAAACCCCCACAAAAACAGTGATCTGACAGAGTGTGGAGATTATTGAATGGTATTACTAATATCACACGCAAGCAAAATCCTGCTGAAGAGCATTAAAATACAACTGAAGAGTACACCAATAGAGAACTACCAGAAATACATGCTGGGTGTAGAAGAGGCCATGATATTAGGAACATTATCGCCAATGTCAGGTGGGTCTTGGATGAAAGCAGAGAGTGCCAGAGAATGTCTGTATTTTATTCACTATGCCAAGGCATTTGACTGGTTGCACCACAACAAATTGAGGCTAACATTGAGAAGAATGGGTATCCCAGAACACCTGATTGTGCACATGTGAGACCTATACTTGGACCTGGAGGCAGTCTTGAGAACAGAGTAAGGAAACACTCACTGCATGGTAGAAATAATAAAAGGAGTGTGTCAGGTATGTGCCCTGTCTCCACATCTTTTCAATCTGTATGTAGAACAGATAATTCTGGAGGCTGGACTTTATGATGAGAAATGTGGCATTAGGACTGAAGGAAGACTCATCAACAACCTGGCCGCTAACAATAGCTGAATACATGGATGAAATTTTTACACACATGCAATACTCCATAGAAACTTGGGGAAAGACCGGCCTTCCACAAAGCAAAGTGCTTTTCTTAAGAAGGAATGAGAACTATGGGGAGAATAATTCTCCAGGGTGCATGGTGATGTAGTTGCCACCGTTCCTCCGGGTATTTATGTGCTTTTATTGCCTTAGAGATTGTTGTGGCAAAGGCCAATGGTTCTGACCAGTTCTGCTGATATTGATGTTGAATGTAAACAGACACATTACCACATATTACTCTAATATTATACCATTATAATCTAATGAAAAGTATTTCATTTTGGACGTGGTGGTGTTAGGTGCTGTCGAGTCAAGCCCTACTATCACAGGCAGCCCTACTATGAACAAAAGATCTGAACCCTGTTCTATCCTGTGCCATCCTCACACATCCTGACACACAAGTCAATTGTGGCAGTCACCATGTCAGTCCACCTGGCTGAGGGTCTTTCTATCCTTCAGCAACCCTCCACCCTTCCAAGCATCATGTCCCTCTCTAAGGAATAGCCCCTCATAGCATCATGCCCAATGTATGTGAGACAGAGCCTCATCATTCTTGCTTTCAAAGAACACTCTGGCTGTACCCTTCCCAAGATATACTTGTTTGTTCTTTTAGCCATGCATAGGATGTTCAGTGCTCTTCTCCAACACATAACTCAAAGGTGTCAATTCTTCTTCTGTCATCCTTATTAATTGTCCAGCTCTCAGATGCATATCAAGTGATAAGAAATACTGTGGCTGGAATCAGACACACCTTTGTCCTCAAATTGAAATCATTACTCCTCAATACTTTGTAGAGGTCCCTAACTGAAAACTTTCCCAGTACAATTTGTCTCCTTATTTCCTGAATGCTGGAGGTGATGTAAATATAAAGTATGGTCTAAAATTTTCACAAAAGGTATTAATTTATGGTTGAATGAATCATGTAATATCTGAGAGAATCATCTTATGATTGTGTATGTTCCAACTGTCTAATCAGAAGCAACCTATACATAGTTAACTCTCCAGCAGAGTTTCAGAGGTAGTTAATCACATGGAGATTGTACTCCCACGGAGCCATTGGTAGATTCGAACTATATACCTTTCAGTTGCCAGAACAATTTCTTACTACTAAGACACCAGAGAAGTTCATTCCTTAATTTATGATAATTTATCTCCTCACTTGTTGCTGCACATTTTAATTTCTAGTTTGGTGTAATTGTAAATATTTTTGTGAACAACTTTTAGTTTTTCATTAGTAAGTTTAACAAATAAGACTTATGAATTATATAGAAACTGCCAAATTAGTTCCTAAAGTCCTCTTACAAAATTATGCTTCCACTAGGAATGTAGGTTTCATATAAGCATAAATAATTTTTCTGGACTTCCTATTCTCAATTTTATCCATAGTTGATTATGATCCACACAGTCAAATGCCTTTGCATAGTCAGTAAAAGACAGAAAGACATTCTTCTGGTATTCTCTGCTTTTAGCCATTATTCATCTGACATCAGCAATAATAGCCGTAGTGCCAAGGCCTCTACTAAACCCTGATTGAACTTCTGGCAGATCCCTTTTAAAGTACTGCTCTAACTGTTTTGAATCATCTTCAGCAATATTTTGCTTGCATGTGATATTAAGGATATTGTTCAATAATTTTCACATTCTATTGAGTCACTTTTCTGAGGAAGGTAATAAATACGCATCTCTTTCAGTCAGTTGACCTTCCAAATTCCCTGACACAGACTGATAAGCACATCCAGGATTGCATCTGTTAGTTCAAAAATGTCAGTACCCCATCAATTCTTGGGAGTCTTATATTTTGACAGTGTCTTCAGTGCAACTTGAACTTCCTACTTCATAACCATTGGCTATAGAACATGTGATACTTTCTGAAATTTTTAAGTATCAGCGAATTATTTTTTTTTAGGTTTCTATTTCTTTTAATTCCAGATATATGTAGTAGCTTCCTACAGCTTTTCTTTCTTTTTCTTTTTTTTTTTTTTGGGGGGGGGCGTCATTCCTTCATTGTTGCACTGTTTTCTCTACCCTCCTCCACAGTTCATTCTTCTTCCCCACCCCGAATGTCTGTTTT